TGTTAGGGGTCAACCATGGCAGAAGCAGCTACCTATGGTAACATATTGTGCGATGTAGCAAAGTATAGCCACGTATTGTGCTATATAAGAAAGTGTAGCCACATGTCATATATCAAAATAGAATATTAAATATACAGACATTAACTGCATTGCTGTGGATATTCAATCTAAGGCAGTTCCAACAGATTCCCTCCTAACAGTAGGGGAATGCCGTATAATTGGTGTAGGAGCTAAGTCTAAAACGAGGTTGAATAAGATGTATTATAAAGGCCCAAGGATAATTGAAAAGTGATGTTGGTTGGCGGCGGGGCTTGGGTTTGGGGGGTTGGGGAATCTTGTTAAACATCATGAGCTCAAGGATGACCCCAAAGCTGTCCATGGACTAATCATGCAACCACATAATGAACCTGATTGTATTATTAATTAATTACATACACATTCAATCGGTTTGTGACAGCTAAGGTTGAGTAAAGTAAATGTATAAAACTTAAATTGGAAAATTAATGGCCTCATACGCAGCCTTGATCTTCAATGCCCACATCCAATGGTCAAAATTTATTTCTTTACCCCTCCACAAATTTGATACAAATATGGCCAAGCCAAATATTCTGAAACTTCTGCCTGTAAGCTTCAGTTTTTACACACTTAGAATACCTTTTTACCTCATAATCTATAGAGGCCTTTTCAGAAAGCAAGGCATAAACCTCATAAACTTTGCCTGTCAACCTGCTTTACATGAGCAATGTCCAATTTTCTTTCAGCATCTACTCAGCTATATTTTCAAAGGAAATTTTAAAGAATGTCTATGTCCCTTTCAATAATTTTTGGGAGGACTTGGATGAATTCAAATAGATCCCCAGAGGGTCTTGGGTTGAAATCAGAGTGATTCCCATACTCTCCTTTTCCTTTTGTGATTTTACTTCCAGTTTAAAATCTCTTTCCTTTCTTTCTCTCTGGAATGCTAGTTCCTTTTTTCTTTCTGCTTGCTGAAGTTCAAGCTTTCTCTTTTTTTATTTCAAGCTGCTTCTACTGCAATTGAATTCTTGCAAACTCAAGTAATAACGTCTGCAGTGCTATTCTTCCAATATGAAATGCTGTTATTCTTGTGGCACAGTGATAGTGTCCCTACCTCAGAACGAGGAGCCCGGTTTCAAGTCCCACCTACCCAAGAAGATATACAATAGCATCTCTGAGCAAGTTGGTTAGAAAATATCTATAATATCAATAAAAATGTAAAATATTGTTGTCGGGTTCTTGGGGCACAATGCCACAGTAATGTAGTATTGTTATCTCTAACCTAGAAACCGGTTTCAAATTCTACCTACTCCAGCTCTGAAGAAGCTGATTAGAAAATATCAAAATGTCATTTTTAAAAGGGTTCTTGTGACACAGTGGTGGTGTTCCTATGTCTGGGCCAGGAGGCCTGGGTTTAAGTCCCACCTGTTCCAAAGATATGGCATAACATTTCTGAACAGGTTGAATTACAAATGTTGAGAGAGACCTCTTGTGGCCTCAGTGGTAGTGTCCCTACTTTGAGCCAGAAGGTCCAGGTTCAAGTCCCACCTGTCTCAGACTTATGTCATAACACGTCTGAGCAGGATGATTGAAAATAATTTAGAGGACTCTTTTGGTGCAGTTATAAGTGTCCCTATCTCTGAGGTAGGTGGGCCTGAAGTCAAGTCCCATCTGCTCGAGATGTGTAATAGCATTTCTGAACAGACTTATTAGAAAATATCTGAACCTAGTAGATGCAACAATCACCCAGGCAACTGAAATGACTTTAAGGGCAAAGTGTTCATTAGACTCTCCAGAAACTTGTTAATACTTTTGATTTGTTTTACTTTTAATAATAATTGTTAATTGTCACTTAATTAATAAAGAAATATATGTTATATATTATATATATGTTAATATATATTACTTATTACTTCGGTTGTGGGTAAAGTGTTGGAAAGGAATAAGAGATAGGATTTATAATCATCTAGAAAGGAATAATTTGATTAGGGATAGTCAACACGGTTTTGTGAAGGGTAGGTCGTGCCTCACAAACCTTATTGAGTTCTTTGAGAAGGTGACCAAACAGGTGGATGAGGGTAAAGCGGTTGATGTGGTGTATATGGATTTCAGTAAAGCATTTGGTAAGGTTCCCCATGATAGGCTATTGCAGAAAATACGGAGGCATGGGATTGAGGATGATTTAGCGGTTTGGATCAGAAATTGGTTAGCTGTAAGAAGACAGAGGTTGATGGTTGATGGGAAATGTCCGTCCTGGAGTTCAGTTACTAGTGGTGTACCTCAAGGATCTGTTTTGGGGCCACTGCTGTTTGTCATTTTTATAAATGACCTGGATGAGGGTGTAGAAGGATGGCTTAGTAAATTTGCGGATGACACCAAAGTCGGTGGAGTTGTGGATAGTGCGGAAGGATGTTGCAGGTTACAGAGGGACATAGATAAGCTGCAGAGCTGGGCTGAGAGGTGGCAAATGGAGTTTAATGCGGAAAAGTGTGAGGTGATTCACTTTGGAAGGAGTAACAGGAATACAGAGTACTGGGCTAATGGTAAGATTCTTGGTAGTGTGGATGAGCAGACAGATCTCGGTGTCCATGTGCATAGTTCCCTGAAAGTTGCCACCCAGGTTGATAGGGTTGTTAAGAAGGCGTACGGTGTGTTAGGTTTTATTGGTAGAGGGATTGAGTTTCGGAGCCATGAGGTCATGTTGTAGCTGTACAAAACTCTGGTGCGGCCGCACTTGGAGTATTGCGTACAGTTCTGGTCACCGCATTGTAGGAAGGATGTGGATGCATTGGAAAGGGTGGAGAGGAGATTTACCAGGATGTTGCCTGGTATGGAGGGAAGGTCTTATGAGGAAAGGCTGAGGGACTTGAGGCTGTTTTCGTTAGAGAAAAGAAGGTTAAGAGGTGACTTGATAGAGACATACAAGATGATCAGAGGATTAGATAGGGTGGACAGTGGGAGCCTTTTTCCTCGGATGGTGGTGGCTAGCACGAGGGGACATAGCTTTAAATTGAGGGGTGATAGATGTCAGAGGTAGGTTCTCTACTCAGAGAGTAGTAAGGGCGTGGAATGCCCTGCCTGCAAAAGTAGTAGACTCGCCAACTTTAAGGGCATTTAAATGGTCATTGGATAAACATATGGATGATCATGGAATAGTTTAGTTTAGATGGGCTTCAGATTTGTTTCACAGGTCGGCGCAACATTGAGGGCCGAAGGGCCTGTACTGCGCTGTAATGTTCTATGTTCTATGTTCTAATTTTGGTTGCAGTGACAACTAATCTGCTATAGGAAACGACACTTCTCAAAATTTCATCAAACTCTAATAGCAGGTCCTGGATGAAACAAACGAGTAAAAGGTTATTGTCTTTCCTCTTTGTTAAAAAAAACACAGTGTGCTTCACATTCAGGGCTGAAGTGATACAAAGTTAGTAGCCAAGGAAAAATAGAGCTTTTGGGGAGTCTTGTGATAACTTGTGTACCTTCTTAGATATGTACTTAAATGTTTGGTACCCAGCAGGAGTCAGCTTAAAGATCCATGCAGCTAAAATGATGAACAGAGGGGAGGACACCTGTCCTTTGGTCATTGGCTTATTGAACAAATGATTAAGAAAAGCAAAACAGTCCCTAGAAGCAAACACAGAATCACCATTACCTCAGAGATCGTAAGAACTATCGATGCTGGAGTCAGAGATAACACAGTGTGGAGCTGGAGGAGCACGGCAGGCCAGGCAGCATCAGAGGAGCAGGAAAGTTGACGTTTTGGGTCAGGACCCTTCTTCAGAAATGGAGCCCCATTTGAACCTTCTCTAGCTTAATAATACCTTTCCTATAACAAGGCAACCAGAACTGGACACAGTACTCCAGAAGAGTACTGTCCAATGTCCTGTACAACCTCAACATGATGTCCCAACTTCTGTACTCAAAGGACTGAGTAATGAAGGCAAGCATGCTAAACACCATTTTAACTACCCTGTTGATATGTGACACAAACTTCAAAGAATTATGTACCTGAGCCCATAGGTGCCTCTGTTCTGCAACACAACCCAAGGCCCTACCATTAATTGTATAAGTCCTGCCCCTGTGTGTTGTCAGAGTTGGCAGATTTCCAATCCTTATCAGAATTGGTGGAGCTTTGATTAAGAAACCAAACTTGTATGATATGAATACTGACCCCTTCTCCTCATGCCAAAATGGGCAATTTTTAAGGTCTCACATCAAAATGAGAGAAAGATAACTTCAAGGAAGTTCTCTGAGTAGTATCTGAAGGCCCACTGCCTGGCCACAAATCTAGACCACACAGCACCTTAGTGCTCAGAATGGGTGACCTGATGTGCTGGTTTAATTGTAATCACCTATGCCACTATATCCATTACTGCCACAATTAGAAGCTAACAGTAACAGTGAGCCTTGCTTTACCTTGTCTCCTGTACAGACTCAATGTTTTGGCATTCAAAGACTTGGTTTTAACCCTTTCATGTTATTTCATATCTTTTGCGATAAAGTGCTTGAGAACTGGAGATATAAAAGTTACCTATGAACTGAAAATATCTGCAAACCTGCAATCTCAATATCATGAATATTGCTGTTGAATGCATCTTTAATAAGTGAATTGTGAAATTTCATGTCTAACATTGCAAACCATATTTTTTGAAGGAGTAAATTATTATAAGTAAAAACACACCAGTCATGCCTCTCATTTCTGGAAAGTATGAACCAGGCCTATCAAGTGGATTAAATCTCATTGAATTTGGCCACTGTATGCTTTTCGTTAAATTTGGATTCACTGTTTCCTATCTTTAGAAATCTGAACAGATTTTCACAGTTTAACACCTGTATTAATTTATGGTAATCAAGGGATTGCAGCTTTGCTGCAAGTGAACTTTAAAATCCCCTTAATATTGTCACCTAATAAAATGAATGAAATTACAACTCAACACACTTTTTTTCCTGACAGAGCACATATAACACGTGTCTTTCTCACTTACCCATCTCCATTAGTGAACTCAAGGTACTCATCCTGATTTGTTCTGTGTATAAATCTGATGCATGTCAAAAGGTTGAACTGCATTAAAGAAGCAATTATTACTCTCTGCTGCTGTTTATCTAGATATTAAAAAAAACAGTATTCATTAACAAATAAAAGAAAGCTAATGTTATTTATAAATAGCAAAACAGCTTTAAATATGGTGGCAGCACAATCGTAATGTCTGATGATGCTGTGGCTTAAAACGATTTTGTTTAAAAGAGAGGTTTTAAAACAGAGGTACCAAGCTATCTAGTTGGAAAGCCAGTAAAGTCAACAGCTTGTGAGGCCTTGTTTTTTTTTGTTAAAAGTTGGAACAATAGAAGCAGCCTGAATGGGTGTGGTCAAACTCCCACAGAACCAGGATCTTTAGTTTAGGTTTCAGCAGTTGCTGTTAAGGTCTTGAAAGGGTGGAAGCTATTTTTTGTCTCTTTCTTGGTTACTGCCAAAAGCTGGGGATTCTCTGTCTCACACGTGACTCCCAAAGCAGGCAATCTGTTTTTTGAATTTGACTTTTTGCCAAGGGTGAATTTATGGGATGTTTCTATATTGGGAACAGTTAATTAGTAATAGTTACTGCATCTATTATTCTGTTAAGCTTTCCAATAGAGTTAAATTATTCCAATTCCTTCTTTCTTTTGTTGTATTTTAACTACAGTGGATAAATAAAGTGTGTTTTGCTTTAAATCCGATAGTTTGACCAATCCAATTGCATCTGGAATGCAACTCCTTACATTTACCTTTAAAATAAGAAAAAATTAGGATCTAGACTATCTTCTGAATATTTTGAAGGGGTTTGGTCTGATCCATAACATAATCCAAAATCTTGTTGGGATCAGAACCTCTAATTCCAGGTTGGGTTTAGGATTATCAGACTGAAGGGAATGAGTGCGAAGTGCTAGGGTCTTTTATTTCAGGTGTGGAATTTTGTTGGTTTAAATGGGGTGTGCTGGGGGATGGGAGAAGTCACTTTGGGAGTTTTAGAATAAGTGAGCAAGTCAAAATTTTCTGAATTGGCAAACAAACCTAAGTTGGAGTTGCCTGTGTCTGTGAGAAAAGGAGAAATAGTTGTGGCAATCGTGCAGCATTTACAATTGCTAAGAATTCCATCCGAATCTTTGGAAATGGCTAAAATTCAATTGAAAATGAAGCAGCTTGAATATGAAAAGGAAATGAACAGTTTGAATACAATTGAAAGTAGAGGAATAGCAAAAAGAAAGAACAGCTGTAGAGCAGGAAAAAGAAAAGGAAAGAATAGCCCTAGCAGAAGAAAGGGAGACAGAGAGAGAAGAAAAGCAGAAAGAGAGAGTGTTTGGGCGTCAGAAGTTGGCAATTAGAGAGGAAAGTAAACTTAAGAGGGTGGAGATGAAGTTAGGCTTAGTGAGGAGGTCAGTGATGACGAACAAACCCATCATAGCCGAAGGCCTAGGGGGCATCTGCTTAAATATGTCCAAACATTGCCTAAGTTCGACGAGAAGAATGTAGAAACCTTTTTCATTTCATTTCAGAAAGTGGCTAAACAAATGAAATGGCTGGTGACCACATGGATATTATTGATTCAAATAAAGTTGGTAGGTAGAGCTAGTGAGGTATTTGCATCACTATCAGAGGAGGTATCTGGGGAGTACAAGGAGGTGAAAATGCCATCTTAAGTGCAAATGAGCTAATACCAGAGGCCTCCAGACAATGTTTCAGGAATCTAAGGAGGGAACCTGGTCGAACGTACAATGATGTTGAAAGGATCAAACAAAGTAATTTTGATAGGGTGACAAGTGTACTGAAAATAGATCAAACATATGACACTCTTAGAGAGACGATTATTTTGGAGGAGTTCAGAAATTCACTTCCTGAAGTGGTGAGAACTCATGTGAAAAAGCAGAGAGTTAAATCTGCAAGATTAGCAGCAGAAATGGCTGTTGATTATGAGTTGGTTCATAAATCAAAGTTCGGCTTCTGACATCAATTTTAGTCTGTGAGGGATAGAAATTGTGGGAAAAGAGAAATTCTCAGGTGATAAGGGAAAAGGAGATCTCATTGAAGATAGTAAAGATAGTTTACCACAGGGTAAAAAGGAAGCCCATGAAGGGGAAAAAAAAGTATGAAAGCTTAGATGTTTTCACTGTAATAAAGTAAGCCACATGAAGTCACAGTGTTGGTGGTTTAGAAAAAGCACTGGAAAGACAGATGTGGGAAAACAGGACTAGCCAGTGAGTTTTGTTGAAGTGGTAATGGTGAGAACAATGGAAGCTAAAAAGCTGCATCAGAATATACAACCTGATCAGGGGTTGGTTGAGCAGAAAGTGCCAGATCTCTTTAAAGAATTTACTTGTGAGGGTAAGAGTTTCTCGCCATTGCCAGGAGGAGCAGGAAAAGAAATTAAAATTTTAAGAGATATAGGGACAAGTCAATCTTTAATGGTGAGAGGTGAAGAGATATGTAATTCAGGAGAATTGCCAGCAAAAGTGGTAACATGTGGAATTCATGGTGAGAAGAGCCATACTCCATTATATAAATTGAGGTTGGAGAATCTGGTGAAAAGTAAAGTGGTTGTAGGAGTAATAGAGAAATTCTTGGTTTTGAGAATACTATTTATCATTGGTAATGATATAGCTAGATGACAGTTGGGAGTGATGCCTATTGTAGTTGAAAAGCCAGTAAAAAAAAAATCAGGCAGCTGAGGTATTATATGTTGGGATTTTTCCTGATCATGTGGTAACAAGGACACAAAGCCACAGGCTGAAGCAGGAGAAGAAATCAAAGAATAAAGATAAGGAAGCTGAAGTTCATTTGTCAGAGATTATGTTTGATCAAATGGTTAAGAAAAAAATAAAAACAGGTGGAAGACAAAGTAGATATTTTTAGCTCAGAGAAATTAACTGAATTATAGCAGAAAGATGAAAAACTGAAGCAGTTGTATCAAAAAGCATACAAAGAAGAATCTGACTGTATCTTAGAATGTTATTACCTTAAAAACAAAGTCTTGATGAGGAAATGGAGGCCATCACATATTCAGGCGGATGAAAAAAGGGCAGACATTCATCAAGTTTTGTTTGTCATTCATGTAAATGATTTGGATGAGAATATAGAAGGCATGGTTAGTAAGTTTATGGATGAAACCAAAATTCCTGGCATAGTAGACAGTGATCAAGGCTTTCTAAGATTCCAAAGGGATCTTGATCAAATGGGTCAATGAGCTGAAAAATGACAGATGGAGTTTAATTTGGATAAAAGTGAGGCATTGCCTTTTGGTACAATCAACAAGGGTAGGACTTATACAATTAATGGTAGGGCCTTGGGTAGTGTTGTAGAACAGAGGGACCTAGGGATTTAGGTACATAATTTTTTGAAGTTTGCATCACATAAAGATAGGACGGTTAAAAAGGTGTTTAGCACACTTGCCTTCATTGCTCAGTCCTTTGAGTATAGGAGTTGGGAGGTTACGTTGAGGTCATACAGGACATTGGTGACACGTCTTCCAGAGTATCGTGCCCAGCTCTGGTCACATTGTTATAGAAAGGATATTATTAAGCTAGAGAGGATACAGAAGAGATTTATCAAGAAGTTGCTGGGTATTAAAGATTTGAGTTTTAAAGAAAGGCTGGATTGGCTAGGACTTTTTTCACTGGAGTGTAGGAGGTTGAGAGGTGACCTCATAGAAGTTTATAAATTCACGGCGGTTAAGATAGAATTAATGGTAGGTGTCTTTTTCTTAACTTGGGAGATTTCAAGACTAGGGGGCACATTTTTAAAGGTGAGAGGAGAGAGATTTAAAAAAGACATGAGGGGCATTTTTATTTTTAAACAGAGGGTGGTTTGAGTGTGGAATGAACTTCCTGAGGAAGTGGTGGATACAGGCACAGTTACAACGTTTAAAAGACACTTCAATAAGTACATGAAGGAGAAAGGTTTGGAGGGATATGGGTCACAAGCAGGCAAGTGGGACTAGTTTTGTTTGTGATTTTGTTCGGCATGGACTGATCAGACCAAAAGATCTGTTTCCATGCTGTATGACTCTATGAGTTGTATTACTGATGGGTTATAGAAAGGAGGAGTTGCTGGTAGCACATGAATTACCAGCAGGAGGTCATTTAGGAGTAAGGAAGACACAAGCCAAAATACAAAAACATTTTTATTGGCCTGGACTGCAAAAGGATGTGGCTGAATTTTGCTAGAGATGTCATATATGTCAGGTAATTGGAAAAACTCAGGCATCAATAAAACCAGCACCCTTAATAGCCATTTCTGCATCTGAGGAATCTTTTGCAATGGTCTTAATTAATTGCATAGGACCCTTATCTAAAACAAAATGTGTGAATCAGCATTTGTTGACTAAAATGGGTGTGTCCACGGGATTTCCAAAGGCCATTCCATATCATGGCTAAAAGGATTACCGAAGGATTACTCAATTTTGTTTTACTAGATACGGACTACCCCAAGAGATACAATCCGATCAAGGGTCAAATTTTATATCAAATTTATTCAAGGAAATTATGGATGTTTTAGGAATAAAACAATTCAAATCCACTGCAAATTATCCAGAATCGCAGAGAGCATTAGTACAGTGGCATCTAACTTTAAAGATCATGTTGAGGGCTCTTGCTATTTCCAAGACTATCCAGAGGATTGGGTTAAAGCAATTCCATTTGTACCTTTTTCAATTAGGGATGCACCAAATTAATCTACCAAATTCAGTCCATTTGAATTAGTTTTTGGGCATTAGGTGAGAGGATCACTGAAATTAATTAAAGAGAAATTGGTGAATCAGAGTTCAGAGAGCACGGATTTGGACTATGTCAAATTTTAAGGAAAAAGTAAATTGCTTGGGTAAGTTGGCAAACTGGACAATGAGGAAGTTCTCAAAAATTAGGATAAATTACTGAGTTACCTTCCAGAGGAAAATCAAAATGACCTGAAAAGAGTTATTACAATCACATGGGGAGATATGTGGGAATATGCTAGGAAGTAAAAATCTGATTATGCATGATGTAGATATAGGAACTGCTGTTTCAAATAAGCAACATCCTTATAGTCTTAACCCCCTAAAGTTGACATGGGTTCAAAAGGAGATTGAATGCACGCTCAAAGACAACATAAATCGAAGTTAGCTGCAGTGACTGGAGCTCACCCATAGTAATGGTGCCAAAACCAGACAGTATCCAACAACTGTGTGGACTATCACAAAGTCAATATAATTAAAAAATCTGATTCAAATCCTATTCCACATTTGAAAGACTGCATTGAGGACATGGGACAAGCAACATATATTTCTAAGTTGGACTTACTCAGACGATACTGGCAATACCTTTGTCCTGACAATTTCGGCTTTCGTGACACTTAACAGATTGTACCAGTTTAAAGTCATGGCATTTGGTATAAAAAATGTGCCAGCCACATTTCAAAAACTAACCAATAAAGTCATTTTTGGAACACCCAATTGTGTGGTATACTTCAATGACCAGGTGATTTTTAGTCACACGTGGAAGGAACATTTTCAGCATCTAGCAAAATTGTCTGGTCAACTTTGGGAGATACGTTTGGTGATAAACCTGACTAAATAAGATTGCACAGGGTGAGTTGCTCCATTCAGAGCTCCACTCTGCTCACCAGTTTCCTTTCCTTTTCTTTTCTTTTTCTCTTCTTCTTCTCTCTCCTCTCTGCAGTAATTCTGTACCCCCCACCCCTGCCTTTTTAACCACCTACCTAAGGAGTTGGGAAAGAGTTGGGTCATGATCGGGAACCATGTGGCGGGAGCTGAATGGGCATGCTGTGTACTGCAGTGACAGCGGATTGAACAGAATGATAACAACAGATCAAGAGTGGGCTGGTTCAGTGGCGACATCAGGCTGGTGCAGCAGGGGCAACAAGAGCAGACCAGAGAGGCGGCTGCAGTTGGCAGAGAGATTGGGCCTTTTGCATTGCGACAGCCTCCTGGGTGTCCTAGCAATTTGAGCAGCGCCTGCACTTTTGTGGAGTTGGCACTTGGGACTCTGAGATCTGGACTGTTCTTTTTCTTGTTCACCTTTTGGCTCTGTTAAATCTTTTAGTTTTGGTTTTTGTAACCAAGTGGGTGCCAGTGAATGGCAACTTTATACACTTTTCACTGTACTTATGTATTCCTATACTTAGTACATGTGACAAATAAATAAATCCAAATTAATTAAGAGTGAGCTCGCAAAAGCCCAGGTCACATTCTTGGGCCATGTCATTATTTTCACATCTTGTGGGACCATCTGTTCATGTCCAAAGGTTATTGGAGAGTTTCCCACACCATTGAAGAGGGCAGTACTATGCTTCCTAGGATTGAGTGGTTTTTTTATCAGAAGTTTGTACCGAATTTTGACAGCGTGGTTGCTCACTGACTGACTTATTGAAGAAGTGCAGAAAATTTCAGTGGACAGCAGACTGTCAGAAGGCATTTGACAGCCTGAAAGCTGTGTTAACCACTGCCCCAGTATTATACACACCTAATTATGCAAAGCCATTCAAGGTGGCTATCGATGCGAGTGATGTGGGTGTCGGTGCTGTACTCTTGCAAGAAGACGATGAGAAGATAGAAAGACCTATTGGGTATTTCTCCAAAATCGAATAATCATCAATGGAAATATTCCATGATTGACAAGGAAACCTTGAGCTTAGTGTTGGTGTTACAAAATTTCAACATGTATACTGCCAGTAATGTGTATGAGACAATTGTATATACTCATCGTAACTGTTTAAAGTTTTTGGAGAAATTAAAGGATTAAAAACTCCAGACTGTTTAGATGGATCTTATTATTGCAGCCATTCAATTTGAAAATTACACACATGACATAATTGCCAATGTGTTATACTGGCTTTGATGAAGAAAGGCAAAGGTGTTCGGTGGCGGAAAAAAAATGAACACATACATATGAAAAATGAATAGACTGTAGTGGTGAATGTTTGCATGCTCAGAGTTAATGTAATATATATGCCTTATAGTGTACTAATAGTGTAAGACTAATGAATTTTTTAAAATGAAGCCATCTTTGTATATTGATGGTCTACTTTTTTTTGTAAGGAGGGAAGGTATGATGATGCTGTGGCATTAAGATGTTTTTCTTTCATATTTCTTTCTTAAAGAGAGGTTTTAAGACAGAGGTACCAAGCTGTCTAGTTGGAAAGCTAGTAAAATCAACAGCTTGGGAGGTCTTTTTGTTTTAATAGTTGGAACAATATAAGCAGTCCGAATGGGTGTGATCAAACTCCCACAGAACCAGGATCTTTAATTTAGCTTTCAGCAGTTGCTGTTGGGGTCTTGAAGAGGTGGAAGCTATTTTTTATCTCTCTCTTGGTTACAGTCAAAAGCTGGGGGTTCTCTGTCTGCTACGAGAGTCGCACGTGAGACAATCTGTTTTCTGAATTTGCCTTTTTGCCAAGGGTGTGTTTATGGGATGTTACTAAATTGGAACAGTTAATTCGTAATAGCTGCTGTATCCATCATTCTATTAAGTTTTCCAGTAGACTTAAGTTATTCTAATTCCTTCTTTCTTTTATTGTACTTTAACTATAGTGGATGAATAAAGTGTGTTTTGCTTTAAATCTGATAGTTTGGCCAATCGAATTGCATCTGGAATGCAACCCCTTACATTTACCTTTAAAGTCAGAAAAAGTTAGGGTGAAGATTAACTTCTGAATAATTTGAGGGGTTTTGGTCTGGTCCATAATAAATGTTACTGGAATAGTAATTCAGAGCCCCAGGCTAATATTCTGGGAACAGGGATGAGTATGGCAGATGGTGAAATCTGAATTCAATAAAATGTGGAATTGAACCCTAGTGGCCATTGTTGATTATCATAAAAATCCATCTTGTTCATTAATGTCCTTTAGGGAAGGAAACTGCAATTATCTGGTCTGGCCTAAATGTGAAACCAGACTGACAGATGGATTGGCTATGGTAAATTGCCCATAGGTGTCCAGGAATGTGTAGATTGGATGGATTTGCTATGTGAAATGCAGGAATAGGGTAAGGGGTTGTATCTGGGTGGGATCTCTTTGGAGGGTTGGTATGGGCTTAATGGCCTGCTTCCATACTGTAAAGATTCTATGATTCTATAATTTCACAGCAATGTGCCCTCTGAAATAGCCTAGCGAGCCAATCAGGGGCTACTGGAAATGGGCAGCAAATGCTATCCTTACCCGTGATGCCCATATCCAATACAAGAATCAAATGACAAAAAATTCACATAGCTGGTCATTTTTAATAGCACAATTACTTTGAGACATTCCATCTATAGGTGTTAATGCTACACTACATTTCATTCTAGAGTAATTTTTTAAAAATTGCAGATCACCTGACTTGTTCAGTTCAGAAAATTAGTTCAGGGAAGTCATTTTGGGAGACATATGGTGACATCATTATTATCAATCAAAATGGAGAGGATTGGGCAATTCCTTTACATTTATGCAGAAATTTTGTCTGCTATGCTGTTTGCTCAGTAAATAGATTGTTTCCTAATTTTCATGTTGAATAAGCCATTCCACCTCCAATTTATTGGCTGACACTCTGATAATTCTGAATTTTTTTATTCAAGGTGACTGAATATATTGAAAGAAAAGATAGTGTAGTCAAAATTAGTGGTCAGCTGAGAAGATTGAAAAATTTTATAAAAGTGAAAAAGGATGACTAAAAAGTTGGACAAAATAGAACATAAGACTAAACTAGCAAGTAAACGTAAAGACACCCAAGTAACAGCTTCTTTAATTTAAAAATAGAGGTAACGGAGAAACAAACCAAATGACTACTGGGGAAAGTTGGGGCAGTGAGAATAGAGGAATTGCAGAAAATCAGCCCATAACAGACATAATGGATCAAAGGACTCCCTTCTGTGCTGGAAATATTCTATGGTTCCCTGATCCTAGGAAGAAAGGAGCTCAAGTAAACATTTGTCCCTTACAAGAGTAGACAGGGTTAGTAATTGGAAATAAGGAAATAAAGCATTTGAACAAATATTTTGTATCTGGCTTTCTGGCAGATGAGAGTAAAAGCACCCCACTTGTGGTAGCAAATCAAGGATATAAAGGGAGAAACTCAAAACAGTCTATTTTATAAGAGTAAAAGTCTGTAGGAGGTGGTGAGGATGTCAGTAAGAGTGAAAATGTACTTGGTAGGACTGACCACTACATAGTCTTTGTTGAGATAAAGTCCCGCCTCACACTGAGGATAGTTTCTATCATGTTGCGTGGCACTACCAACATGCTAAATGGGGCAGATCTAGAAGTTCTGACTTGGACATCCCAGAGATGCTGAGGATCATTAGCAGTGGCATGAGCCCAATTCCATTATTGCCATCAAGTGTTGGGGGTCAATCCTGTTTCAATGAAGTGCGCAGGACGAAAATTCAGAAATAGCCCCAGGCATAATTAAAAATAAGATATCAGCTTGGTGAAGCTACAGAAGATTACTTGCATGTCAAGGAGCAGAACAGGAATTGAATAAATAGAGCTAAATGAAGCCTGAACACATGCACAAACAGATTCAGGAACAGCTTCTTCCCGGCCATTATCAGACTGATGAATGGACTCTCTAGCCTCAAATAACGCTGAAGTTGCTAATGTTGATCTCACCTAGTGCACACCGTGTACGATGTAACCTAAATGCGTCTAAGTCTTTTTGATCTGTACATCCTTTGCTTATCATGATCTGCCTGTACCGCTCATAAACAAAGCCTTCCACTACATTTCAGTACGTGACAGTAAATAAATCAAACATTTCCCCACTTTACACCGCATTTGCCAACATTTGCCCACTTACTACATCTATCAATATTTCTCTGTAAACTGTGTATCCCTCTCACAACTTCACTTTTGAGCTTTTATTGTGTTGTCTGCAAATTTAGCTTTCTTCCTTCACGTTATTAATATATGTTATACATATTTGCAGTCGCAGCACTAATCCCATTAGAACCCCACGGGTTACACATCACCCAAACCTGGAAAGGAACCCCTGAACTCTACTCATTGTTTCTTGCACATTGGCAAAATCTCGATCTTCGGCAACACACTATCTCCAACAACATGGGCTCTTATGATTTAACTGTTTGTGAGGTACCATGTCAGATGCCTTCTGGAAGTCCAATGCAACAGATTTACTTGTTCCCCTCCATTTATTTAAGGCGACTTCCTTAAAAAATATGATAAATTAGTCAGACACAATTTCCCTTTCAAGAAGCCATACTGACCTTTGCTTGATTAGATTACGGTTTTCCAAATATGTGATTACTTCTTTAATAATTGATTCCAATATTTTTCCAACAATAGATATTAGGCTAATTGGCTTATAGTTACCCACTTTTTACTTCCCTCCCTTTTTGAGTAAGGTGTCACATGGCAGTTTTCAAATCATCTGGTGCTTCTCCAGAATGCAAAGATTTTTTGGAAAATTACAAGTAATGCTTCCACTACCTCTGTTGCTACCTTTTATTAGGATCCTACCATGCAAGCCAACAGGACTGGGGGACTTATCTCCCTTTAGCTCCATTCGTTTATCTAATACTACTTCTCTAGTCATGGTGATGATACGTAATTCCTCCCCCCAATTCTTTAATATTAATGGGATGTTCGTAAGATCTTCCACTACAAAGACTGACGTAAAATATTACAACAGGATGTATAGACACATACAGTGCTGATGGAATGAGACAGTTAGAAGTGTCCTGATGGAACAGCAATACTTCTTTGTAATGGTGGAAGGTATGCCACTGTTTTGACTTCAGACACCACACAAGTACTTAGCAGGGAAATGAGACTGTGGTAGACATAATGCCAAAACATCACATTATGGTCAAAGTTTGCAAGACAGTTCCTTATTATCTGTATATTAATTCCAATATAGCTGCTGCCTTGTTGGTTCAAAACCATTTTGGTCTTCATATCAAAACCTCATTCACCCCCCCATTGAGCAGAACATCTTGTGGTTGAAGGGTTTGTGCAATGAATGCACCTCTAACACAGCATGCATGAATGCATATATCACCTATTGTGCGGCAGCATATAGCATGACCTCTAGCTATCTTGCTGTGGAGATGTAGGACACTTAAATAGCATATTTCATAGAATCATAGAATCATCATAGAATCCATACAGTGTGGAAACAGGCCCTTCGGCCCAACAAGTCTACACGCCACTCAGAGCATCTCACCCAGACCCATCCCCCTATAACTCACCTAATCTACACATCCCTGAACACTATGGGCAATTTAGCTTGGCCAATCCACCAAGCCTGCACATCTTTGGACTGTGGGAGGAAACTGGAGCACCCGGAGGAAACCCACGCAGACATGGGGAGAATGCACAAACTCCACACAGACAGACAGTCACCTGACAGTGGAATTGAAACCAAGTTCCTGGCGCTGTGAGGCAGCAGTGCTAACCACTGAGCCACCGTGCCACCCCGCCACCCCAATTTGGATCAAGTTTCCATACAGCACATGCACAGTCACAGCTAAATTTTAAAATCTCTTTGGGCAATTACGGATGGGCAATAAATGCTGGCCTGGCCAGTGACAAACACATCTCATGAATGAATTTTAAAAAGCTACCAGAATAAAGCTTAAAACTGAAACCTTCAGATTTAGTGACAATGATTCAAATCCCATGAACTAAGACAGCTTAATACTAGACATGCAAATCAAAAACAGAAAAATGATAGATATATTCAGTATGTTAGAAAGCATCTTTGGAGGGAAAGAAATTAAATGTTTTAGATCAATGACCTTTCATCAGAACATTCCACACTACAAATGCTGTCTGGTCTGCTGATTTCCAGAACTTTGTTTTAATTTCAGATTTCTAGCATCTGTAGTACTTACATTAGAACATATATTTAAACTTTAACATTGTCCTCCATATTCACACATAGAATAAAATGTCTCCATCAACAAGGTTATAATATTTTAAAACAAATAGATTAATAACAATTACACAACAAACTTGGGAAAATTATTTTAAAAGAATAATTCACATTACTTACCAAAGTTTGCTTTGAAAACATAAGGTATATAAACATTGCCATCTTTTGAGATTGTCCATAAACAAAGGTTGCCATTTCCTTGGCATAATTTAGCACCTCTGGTAATGTCAACATTGATATCTCCACCTACATACTGCTTCCCTGCAAAAGTGTTTACCCGAAACAGAAAAGGAAAATGTTAAGTTTTTTAAAAAGCTATTGTGTCAACAAGGATGCCTATTTGGCTATGTTTTGTTAAAGCAACTGACTTTAAAAAAAATACAACAGTTGTGCTTAGAGAGCTTCAATAAGGCTGAATTGGCATACCATACCTATATATCAGGGAGCCGGTTAGCTTGGACAGCTGGTGTGCAATGCAGAGTGATATCAACAGCATGGCTTCAATTACTGTTACTCGATCATTGTTTTTAGGAAATGTTTGACTTTCACCATTTTTCATCCTTTGCTATTTATATTTTTTAAAAATTCCATTTCCTGCTCATCCATTGTGGTAAAATTTATGCAAACTGTTCCAACATTGTCTCAAAGCAATATTTTTCTATCTTTCCTAAATACCATACAGCCTGTATTATCAAGCTTTTATTCACGCCCAGCTTGTGGTCAGATCTCACGATCACTACTTTGTATTCTGAAATCTAGCCTAAATGTACTCAACTTTGGGAGGCTACAATGTAGTATCATTACCACTGGACTGTTAACCCAGAGACCCAGCTCACGTTCTGCAGACCCATGTTCAAATCCTGCCAGAGCAAATAGTAGAGTTAGAATCCATGAAGGATTCTCCTCTCAACTTCTTCCCTTGCCTGAGGTGTAATGACTCTCAGGTTAAACCACCAACAGTCATCTCTCTCTGAGAGAACAGCCATGTGATCAGGTCAGTCTATGGCGACTTTACCTTGACCAATATCATACATACCTGAATAATAGTCAATTTCATGTAAAGGTCAAACCCAATGTTTGTTCTTAGTCTTTCAAACATGGGACATACAAGTCATCCCAAAAAACTTTGGTCCAAAGATCCTTAACTTTTCATTTTCTTCATAATTGGTTTGGGAATGGGTTGGTAGTAACAACTGATAAGAGTCTTTTTCACAATTGTTCCTTCTCATTTAAACCATCAGAAATAATTATCCTGGGACTGCAGTTCCTTGCTGAATTCAAAGCTATGGCCAGCAACAGCTGAGACAGTGGACTAGGTAATACTGCCAGATGTATTTGTGGTGGATGCCATGTAATACAGATTGGGTGATGAGCCAACAACTTTCCCACTCAGTCCCAAGGTCCCCTCAATAGTAGGTGGAGGGGTTGCCATAATTTACAACTTGTCCACCATATGTAAGTAAATAGACGACTACATCTTGTTAAAAGCCTCAATTAACTCTAATATTCAGCTGCCCATGTGTTAGACTTCTTAAACAATAGAATCGAATCCGCAATCTTTTTTAAATATCCAGCTTTATTTCTTATTAAATGTCGATCAGATGGTTACAAATTAAGACCTGTACAGCAACAGCTTTTTTCGTGCCTCTATACACTTTTTTTTAAACTTGATCCTCCCCGAAACCACAAACTGTTCTCCATACCCTAACCACAAAGGTCTAGGCCACAATCTGTTTATCACATACACTCGTAAGAGGTTCCCATACTTTAACCACCAGGTCTAGACCAAAGTTTATTTTTGACGTATGTTTATGTCTGCTTCAAACCATTTTCAACTGCACCTGCAAGCTCCCTTTTTGCCTTAGCATTTGTAATTTAATCCTTGTTATGCTGTAGCTTAATCACACAATTTTCAATATACTCCACAACTCCCCACTTTCAATTCTTCCCCAAACAGAATTACACAAACAAAGCAAGCTAACAATAATATGTAGGTCACCTAGAGTGTTGAAGGCCCGTTAAATACCAAACTTTAGGCTTCAGCATTTGCTGAATACAACATCTGAGTAACATAAACAAGAAATACAGAATAAGAATCACAACAATAGAAAGTAATACAATCAACTTCCCCATCTTGGGCTATTGTAACAATTCTTACCAGGCTTCAAATTCAGTTCCTGGTTGCTCATTAACATCATGCACAGACTCAAAATTCCCCAGATTTCTTTTACAAGGTGTCTGTATGTCATCATTTTTGGGCCCTTTCACTTCAGCTCACTATCACTGTTTTAAAGTCAGTTTCTCTGTGGATTATGGGTCAGTATCTTATTGTTTAAACTATACTGTACTGCTCTTCTAAGCCATATGAATCCATTTGTCAAGTAGGCGTACATGTCTGAGGTCCATTCTTCAGTGCAATTTTTTATGAAGAATTCACTCATGTTTGTTACTTTCAAGGTAATGCTCACTTTTGCACACTTACATTGGTATCCCAAGACCATGTCACGCATTCTTAATTCTCATACGATTTTATCAAAAGATCTATGAGATTTTACTTATCTCTCTTGGGTAGTGGCGCAATCACCGAGTTCACCAAGGAGAGACAAGGACACAAACATCACCAAGAGAAAACCATCAGTTAGTACTCTCAGCCATACTTGTCTCTTCACTAAAATGCATACTAACTTCAACCTCTGTTTCAACCCAACATTCTAATTTCTTTTTCTTCTGCCACTACTCTCCATTGCAAATTACATCATCTCATCCAATTTTGCCGTTTAACTATTACCACTTATCTAATTCCAGAGATCTGCAGAGATCAATAGTCCATCGTAAATCATCTTATAATATTTTAAAACAGAAGTCAAACATTTCTGTTCAATTCAGGCAAAACATACTTTGTTCTTTCTCTAAGATTACCCACATATTTTAAACTTACTTTATAACTCATTCTAAATATTTGGTATATCTCCACACAAATTTGTCCAAATTCAAAATTCTGTTTACTACTCCAAAGTCATTAACAATTTTTATGCATTGAAATTCCTGAATGTTTTCACAGTAGTTCTTCAATGCTCAGATGTGTTGTTAACAAATGGCTTGATGGTTTGAGAATGCCTCATCCATCACTGTGTTGCGACGTTGAAAGTTTGCAGACATATTCAGAAGTTTGTACTCTTATCTGAAAAACAAAAGTATCCATCCATTCCACATCAAGAAGAATGAATGAATTAATTGTAGTTTAAGGGGTGGGGGTGAAACATCCTGGACATATCTATGTCGACAGTCTCTTCTCCTCCTGTACAGAAATAGCTGTGTTATAATTGATACAGGAAAAGTCTACCTCCTTTGTTAGATTGTACTCTCCTTTTAAAATCTCCAATTTTCCTATTACTTGGATACTTTCACCTCAAAATACATTTACCACGAGCAAATCTGATACAGAATTAAAGATTTGCTCGTGTTAAAACGGTATTTGGAAGTTTACTCTGGCCAAATGAAATTCCAAATGTGATAACTTCCAATGCCAAGAGATACATTTTTACCAAGCTTTATGACCCAGTATTTAAATCAACATTTCATTGCGGATTTTTGCTTTACACAACCACTGATAGTTCCTTAAAAGGACATTACATTAATCATACATGTTCCACACTGCTACAGGCATACATTACATTTTCAAATCACCATAAGATTCCCAAAATTCAAACTAAATTTAAAGCATTCCTGGATCTTGAGCTTCAAGGAACGAAAATACAAATATTATACAAGACAACATTTATCCACCAATGAACAAAGGTGCACTCAAACCAGACAACACTTAGTTCAGTGAATGCAGCACCAAAAGCTGATCTCTCTCTGAACCAGTCCAGCAGCTATGTCTTTTAGGATCCGACCAGTTTGATCAGCAGTGCTCAGTGGTGGACACTGAAATCCCCTACCCAGAGTACAGTCTGCATTCTTGCCATCCTCAGTGCTTCCTCCAAGTGTTGTTCAATACAGATAAACACAGAGTCATCAGTCAAGGGAGGAAGGTATGTGGCAAACAGCAGAAAGTTTCCTCCCCATATTTACTTGATGTCATAACACTGCATAGTGTCCGGAGTCAATGATGAGAACCCCCAGGACAACTTCCTCCCTTCTTTATATCACTGTGACACCATCTCTCTTTTAAGTATCTCCTGTCAGTAAGGCAGGGCATATCCAGGGACAGTGATGGTGGTGCTTGGTTCATTGTCTGTAAGATATAATTCTATGAACATGTGTTTAGCTCATTAAGAGATTAACCTCCAGGTATTAGTAAGTAAGGCTTCACTGGGTCAACAGTGCAGTTTTTGTTGCCGTCCTTTCTGGTGCTTCGGTCAACACCCAGTTGCCAGTCTGGTTTCGTTTTCCTTTGAGACTCTATGGTGTCTGTTACGCCAGAATGGTACACTAGGCCATTTCAGAAGGCAGCTGAGAGTCATCTACATTATTGTGGGTGTGGAGTCACACATAGCCCAGACCAGGTCAGGATGCTAGATTTCCTTCCTTCAAGGACATGAGTGAGCCAAATTTGATTTCTAGACAATAAACAACCGACAGCTGTTCCACAGCCATTACTAGACTCTTATTTCCTGATATTTATTGAATTCCATTTCCACCACTGCTGTGGCAGGGTTTGAATCCAGAATATTACCTGACTTTCTGGATTATTAGTCTAGCAATGATAGAACTTGGCCATTGCATCCGCCATATTAACTCTGTTTCTCTCTCAACAGTACTGCCAGACCTACAGCGTTTCTCCAGAAGTTTGTTCGTCATTTCTACCATCATCTTTTTATTTACATTGAAATTTAAAGAGGTTGTGAGGTGGTTCAGTTCACAATCTTTCAAATAAATAGATTACATAATCGGTGAAGTTTATACCTTACAAGCAGTTTACAGTTAAATTGAAGTGACTGGTTTCCAAAATCCAAAACTTTACAAAGCGAAAAGATCTCTTTTTGCTTTTTAGAAAATGAGCTGCTCCATATGAAATTGCAACTGATGGTTGGCAGTTCAACGTGGTTTCCACATGGAGGGGATAGGTCAAAATGGGCTGTTGAGGTAGTGTTAGGTAAAAAGGGATACAGAGCCTCTGTTGGGGGATACCTAGCGATCAAGTGGAGCATAGAGCTGATGGTCTCCATTGTGAGTGAAGTTCCTTGCCATTTCGTGCCATTCTGTAGATGTGAAATACAACTAAAAAATGGCTAGGACGATACCTAGCGTGGGCAGAGTCAGTGGGCAAAAGCATGGGATCCATATCTGCTGCAAGCTACGACACTGAAGGGGCAAATACATGCAGCAGGTGCTTGCCATCAGCAGCAATGCTACATTTGCAATAATTTTATTACCTATTTGTAATGTATGTAGCGTGAACATACTTAAGATTAAAATGATGGTCAAAGGCCTTGCAAATTGAACATTGGCATCTCAATAATGCTGCAGTTAGCAGCAATGACTTAAAAAGACGCAAATGTTGACCAAAGGCTATCCGTTATTTGTGCAACTTCTAGGTCTTGATCATCTGTCAAG